TTTTCTGTAGTTCCACAAATACCACATTGTTTTTTAAAATCTCTAAAGCTTTATAATGTGTTTTAGAAAATCTGATAGGGTAAATTTCCCCTCATTATTCTTTTTTTGTGCATTTTGTCTTCCAGATGTATTTTAGAATTAATGTATCAAGTATAGAAAATCATGTTTGGGTTTTGATTGAAATTGCATTGAATTTATAAATTAATTTAGGAAAAAGAGGCTTCTTTAGAGTACACAGTTTTATCATCTAGGAATGTGGTATGTTTTCCCATTGTTTTGTTCTTCTATGCTTTTCAAGTCAAGTTTTATGCCATTCTCCATATAGAAGTATAAATGGCACATTTTGTTAGTTTTAGTCCTAGCTACTTGATTTTTTTTTTTTTTGTGAATGAAATTTTGTTGTTTTTACACATTGCAATTGGTTTTCCCTGGTGAGGAGGAATGCTATTATGTTTGGTATGTTAAACTTTTATCTGGCCAGTGGCATTATCTCTCTGCTGTGAGGTCATCAGCAGGAGTCTAAAACTGTTAATGAGCCCCTGAGTGGAAAATTGTCCTAGGTAGCGCCTACTTAGCCATCATCTTAGAAGTTGGTATTTTCCCATCTGTCTGGGGCTTATAGGAAGCAAGGTTTTGATATCAGCCAGGAGGAGCTCTGGCTAAGTATCAGACACCACCAGTAACAGCCTTGCAGCTTTGGAGTGAGCCGTCAGCTGGAGAGCAAACCAGCATGGAGGCCCTCTGCACGGTGCCACTTTCCCTTCTAGACTCTGGAGTCTCACTGTCTCTCGTTCATGAAACTACCTTTCATACAGTATTCTCTTACATTCTCTTCCAAGGAGTTTGAGGGAGTATTTGTTGTATTCTCAATTCATAAAGGAAGAAAACAGTTTTAAAGACTGCAAGATCAACCTTTACTTTAAAACTCGAGGTACAAGGCTTACTTTTGTGACTGATGAAAAGCTAAAGGGTGATCTGTTGACTCCCTGTTCCACCTGCATTGCCCCCCTTGGGGCAGGAAGAGGAGTCCAAGCAGTAGATACTACAGTTGCTCGAGTCCCAGGAAAACTTACAGAAGTTCCAAGGGAGTACACTTTTGCTCCTTCCTGGGGTTTCCTTCCAGGCAAGAATGCCATCACCATATGATTACCTACATTGATTTGACCCAAATCAACAGGAGAAATAACACATCGGTAATTCTAAGCTCATAGGGTCAAGTTAGCTTTTTATATATAACTGAAATTATTTCCCTTATGACCTCACCTCTACCAAACTCCTCAAACCTTTCCTCCAGGTGGAAGTTAATTAAACCATGAATGGGGTGGGAGTCCCACTGGTACTTGGAGTGAGGAGAGGGAGGACAAGTGGTGGTGCGTACACAGTTCAGCCCTGACAAAGACCTTAACTTTCTGATCAACCTACTACTTTGTTTTTGGTTCACCCCCCTCTTGTGGTCCCAAGAATATAAACATTCTGTAGTTGCAGTGGCTCTTCCATCCTGTTCTTTCTCTTCATAAAGTTTGATTGGTTCACTTTTCATAGAATTCGCTGACCCCACACATTCTCTTTCTACCAACAAACCTCCATACTTTTCATCACTGGTAGACCAGTGGTCTCCATGGTAAAGCTACTCCAGGAAATGCTTGGTTTGTGGAAAAAAATCACAGAGTTTATATGTATCTTTTATCCTTTTAAAATGTCTTTTTTGTGTGTTTTATAACATATACACTAGCACTCAGAAGATATATATTACTGAAAAATCAAAATTGGGAGATCATTGCTCTGGCCTGCTGATTTGCTACATTTTTTCTCTGATCACTATTACCCAGGCACCATCGTTCAGTATTATGGTCATCTGAGACTCAAGTCCCTTGTTAGGAGACAGACTGTTTGCAGCTATCCAACATCTGTATAGAAGGAAACCTGGTGGTACAGTGGTTAAGTGCTTGGCTGCTTACCCAAAGGTCGCTAACTGAAAGGTTGGTGGTTCAAATCCACCAGCCACTCTGAGGGAGAAAGATGTGGCAGTCTGTTCCGTAAAGATTTAGAGCCTTGTAATCCCTATGGTGCAGCTCTACTCTGTCCTATAGGATCATTATGAGTCAGAATTGTATATACAGGCTTTTAAGTTTCCCTTCATTTCCTGCTTTCCCCTTAGTTAATTTGGATACCACACTTTTCAATTCTGCACATGGTTACATTTCAGTTCCTAAGAATCCAAACTTAATCCTGTATTTTTCTGTTCTTTGTCACCCACGTACCATGATGTTTTACTTCCCTAGTCTACCCTTGACCCCAAGAGGGTACTTTTAGAATGCTTTTATCCCTCTCCCCAGTTTGGGATTTAGCAATGTCACCAGCATATTTTGTATCATTTTTAAAAACCAAAGCTATCTAGGACTGGGTTGGCCCTTCAAATGTACTGACTTAAGTCTGTTTAGCCTTTATTATCTCCCATTTGTAACATTTTCTCTTTTGGGACCTCCTATTACTCACACGTAGGTCTCCTGTATGTATTTTTTTTAGTCTCTTTTCCTTCATCATTTCCATTTTTACTTGCTATTCCAGGTTATTAATTTAGTCCCTGCTAGGAAGCATCCGTTTTTGGACCAGTGCCTGAGTTTTCATTATTGTTCAATGATGTTTAATGATGAAGTCTCTTCTGCTAAGTGCTTCTTCAGTGAGATCTGCCCACCCCAGATACTAGAATTCCCTGCCCTCAGAGCCTCCTCTGTGTGCCTGCTGTTGTCTATGTTTCCTAGTGGCCAGGCCATTATGATGTCCTGAGGAGTAGCAAAACGGTGAGTGGTGGGAGACCCAGCAGTGTTAGCTCTGCTAGGTCAGTGGTGAGAACTGGCAAACCATAATCCCTCTACTGAAGCCAGAGTTGGGAGTTGTCTGCAGGTCTCTCTGATTCATGGTTACCTGACCCCTAATCTGGTGGCCCTCCCAGGACTCCAGGCAAGTAGATATGGCCTCCCTCCCCAGGGGATTCTTACTTAGTTGGGGTTTTTGTTGTTTTTTTTTTTTTGCTGTTCTCCTTCAAGGAACCATGGAATTCTAGGCTTCAGGGCTGCTGTGTAGTTTTGCAGGTTGTTAACGACACGAGGGCATCTGGCTGAAGAGGCAAGTGGGTGCTGAAAGAATCTGTGTTCTTCTCACCAGGTGAGAGTGTGTCTGCCTGGAAGAAAGGCTGTAAATGAGTAATTTCCTGAATACGAATCAGCACAAAGCTGGTTCCTATGAGGCAGAGGTTAAGTACATCCCAGATTTCCAACTTCTCCAAGGTGCTGTGCCAATCTGTCTTCTCTGACACCAGTCACTTCCCATTCTTTCAGTACTCTCCTCCCCACGCACCCCCTTGGGTTTGGTAACTTGCTGCAACATCTCACAAAACTCATGAACTATATACTTAGTTAAGTGGTTTATTGGGATGCAGCTCAGAATAGGATGCAATTTGTAAGTAACAGGATATAACTCAGGAAGCAATTGGTCAATCAGAACAGCTTTCTCACAGGATAACCCTTGGAGCAAAAATGCTCCTTGCTGGTACAGTTCTCAGTCAGGACCTTGGACAATCTTCTGCTGCGGGGCCTCTCCCCTGTTGGCTTCTCTGCTGCTACGTAGCCCAGCTCACAGCCAGTGTGGCAGCTTGCTCAGTTCTCTTAGCTGCTCTGTGCGGTCAGGCCTCTTTCCTATGAGGCCTCTCCACAGCTAACTGGCCCAGCACATAGCCAATGTAGCAGTTTTGGGATCACTCAGCTCCCATGTGGCTCTGCTTCTCCACCAGCCCAGCTCTTAAGCAGCATCTCTCTCAACCAGTAAGCCTTTAAAACCTTAGCCATTTCAGCCTTTTATATATCCCAATCCTCATCAATTACAAGGTGGGGCCTCCCTCACCAGACTAGAGTTCAACCAATCCTCAATTCCTCATGAAATGTCAATCAACTCAGGTCTGTTAATTACCAGATAAAAGTATCAAAAGATCACTTGTTTACAGCTTACTCAGGAAACGTCAGTCAACCTGGGGAATCCCCTGGGCAAAAGTAACAAACCCTCTGGGGTAGAAAACACCTGCCCCTCCCCACCAAAGAACTTCTCCAAAGAACTAGGGTAAAGGTAACTCCTCAGGGCTTAGGGAAAAAATCTCCTAAGCTGTTTTTCCGAAGAACCAAGGCAAAAGGCCACAAGAAGGACTCATTTCACCACAGGCTGCCTTTTGATAATTTGTACAATGACGTTTTTTTTCTTCTTGCCAAGACAAGTGCCTCCAGGGCTGTGTTCCACCTGGCACAATGGTACAACTATAGAGGTGGGTGGCAGCCCTCCTGCACTGCTTGTCCCCTAGCTCTCTCTGGTGCCAAGGAGCAGCTAATTCTGTGCCCATCCCTTCCCAGAACTTGGAGTGGAACCTGCAGCCTCAGCTGCACCCACTCTCTGCAGATGGCTCACCTTGGCTGCTGTGTGACTCTGGAGAAAGAGCTAGGATGGAGAGAGGGGTAGCTGAGAGCTTGTCCTCAAGTGACATGAACCACAATTAGGCACCAGACACTCAGTAGATAAAAATGTTAGGTTATTTTTTTTAATTTCCCCCATAAAAATGGCATGGTGGCATCAGAGGTCCTCTAACTTCACAAAGCAGGGAGGAGAATCAAGATAAATGTCTTGGGCTGACTCCAGTGAGGTGGAGGTAAGACATACCTCCCCACTCCAACCTTTACCGATTCTGACACCAGCTGTCACTCCCACAGCACTACTTCTCTGCTGCGTTCAAAAATTCATTGTAATGGCCATACAGAACTCACAGTTACGGGGTTTATTAGGGAAATAAGAAGCTACAACTCGGGATCAGGATCAGGAAACATGCAGGCAAGGAAGGTCTTCCTTCTTCAGTGTAGGACAGCTCTCTCAGCTCCTCTTGGCCCTGTGAGGACAGGCCTCCTCTCTCGGTCCTTAGCTCTTGGCCTGGCCTCTGCCTTGCTTGGGCAAGTGTTACAAAGTTCTTTAGCTCTGCCAGTAAGTGCCTGGAGACACCCCATTTTGCCACGAAGGCTCCTGCCCAGAGGCTCTCAGCTCTCTCACTCTGTGGATGGGCACACCCACTGTAGCCGCTGCACTCTATGGGCCAGGAAGCTCATCTCACTGTCTCGAGCTGCTCTCCTGGTTCTGCTGCCACTGGACTCTGCTGTGCTTGCCACTGCTTCTCACTGTCTCCAGTGTTACAGCTCTCTCTGTCCCCTGGGTCTCGAAGATTCTCAGCGCAGGGACCCTGGGTTCAAAAGATGTGCTCTGCTCCTGGCTCTTCTTCTTGATGGTAGAGAGGTCACCCTCTGCCTCTCAGATTGGCTCCCTTTAAGCCTAGTGGGATGGCAAAATTGACCAATCAATCCCCTTGTTAGGATTCCATACACCTTATTTTCATGTTCTCACTCCCACAAGGGTTCCATGCACCTTATTTGCATTATGAGCAAGCTGTCCAATCCCCTTGGTGGGCCACAAACACATTTGCATAGTCCCACTCAGTCATTTTATGGGAGTCACAAGACTATGACTAGAAGGGCCTACACTGTACCCTTCTATACTTTTACTTACTATTAAACAATACAAACTCATGTTTATTTTTTTGAAAGTTGGCATATATAGTAAAGCAAAAGTAGAGCAGAAAAAAGTATCATATTTTAAAAAGGCATAAAATAAGCCTCAAATCCACTACTCAGAAGCAACTACTAGTGATAATTATACACATTTTCTAACCACTAAGATTTGAAAGTTTATCCACAGGTATCCACTCCCCTCCTCATACCCTTTTCAGAGACAACCACTATTATCAGAGGTATATCCTACTGTATGTTTACACAGATACATGTGTGTAGACTTATTTTTTTCCAGTCACAAATAACTGCATTCTCTAACACTGTTCTATATTTTGCTTTTTTCACTTAAAAATATACCTTGGAGATCTTTCCATATTAGTGTACTGCTTTATTCTTTTTGATAGTTTCATGGTATTCTCTTTTATTAGTATACCCACAATTTGCTTAACTTGTCCTAAACTGATGAACATTTGGAGTGGCTCAGTATTTTACTATTATAAACAGTGTTTCAATGTCTATTCTTCACACACCTCTTTTGGCATGTGGAGTAAATCTATAGGATAAATTACTATAAGGAGAAATGCTGGATCAAAGGGTATGTAATTTTACTAGAAATTGTCAGACTGCTCTCCATAGAGGTTGTCTACTGGCATGTCCACCAGCAATGTATAAATGGTTTTGTTTTGTTTAATGAATTGTTTACATAACTGAGATCATATTAGCTATACACATTTTTTAAAACTTCACATTATGCTAAAGTATTTTTTCACATCAAAATTATTCATAAACATCATTTAAAATTATAAATGTTCATTATAGAGAAATGACCTTACCAGTTAGTATTTACCGTTTGGATGTACCTCCTTTGATATATATATTTATTTATATACTTATACTTGTGTGTGTATATATATACAATTTATATTTAAGTATATTTAACAAAAATGGGATTGTACTATTTCTAATCCGCTTTTTAAAATTTAGCTATGTATTATTGTCACGGATTGAATTATATCCCCCCAAAAATGTGTGTATCAATTTCGCTGGGCCATGAGTCCCAGTATTGCATGGTTGTCCTCCATTTTGTGATTGTAATTTTATGTTAAAGAGGATTAGGGTGGGATTGTAACACCTTTACTAAGGTCACATCCCTGATCCAATGTAAAGGGAGTTTCCCTGGGATGTGGCCTGCACCACCTTTTATCTTACAAGAGATGAAAGGAAAAGGAGGGAAGCCAGCAGAGAGTTGGGGACCTCATAACAACCAAGAAAGCAGTGCTGGGGGCAGAGCATGTCCTTTGAACCTGGGGTCCCTGCATGGAGAAGCTCCTAGTCCAGGGGAACATTGATGAGAAGACTGACGGAGACAGAAAGCCTCTCCCTGGAGCTGACACCCTGAATTTGGACTTCTAGCCTACTAAACTGTGAAAAAATAAATTTCTCTTTGTTAAAGTTATCCACTTGTGGTATTTCTGTTATAGCAGCACTAGATGACTAAGACAATTGTGAACATTTTTCTTTGTCACTAAATACAATATCACTTGATTTTTCCAATTTTTCTATTATAAATAATACTGTGGTGATCTTGTGTATATAATTTTGTATTTCTAAATATTTCCTTAGGTCACAGAGTATGAGTTTTAAAAGCTCTTAATATATACTGAGAATTGCTTTCCAGGAAGGTTGGGTCAGTGTCAGGTCTTCCTAGCAGCAAGGTAGAAGCCAGCCTGTCCTACCATACCCTCGCCCTGTTAATGACTTGTTAGTGGCCACATTTTACTATGAAGGCTATTAGGAGCTACTGACACATTTTAAGTAGACAAATGACCTAACTAGATTTGCATTTTCGATTCTGCTTCAGGGCATAATAGCTTCGTCAGTCTCATTTAGCCCCTAGGAGGGATTCTAGATAATGGTGACACTTGGCAAAGTGAGGCACATTTGGGTGGAGACAACAAGGAGGTCTCTGACCTGTTGCTATGGAGAAAGCAAGTCAGAACTTCACGATCTGATAGGCAGAGGCTGGCAGAGGGAATCCTCACTGGACAATGCATGCCAGAAAAAATATGCTGGTGCCGCTGCTTAATGCCTAGTTACTGTTTAGGTCTCAGAATAATCACAGCAGCTAATATTTCTTGAGTGCTTACTGTGGGCGTCTTGGACCCTCTGCTATGCTCCTTCATGCATTACCTCATTCAGTCCTCTGAGGTTGGTACCATTATTATCCTCATTTGGCAGATGAGAGAACTGAGGCAGAGAAAGGTTAAGCACCTTGCCTGTGGTTACACTGCTGGCAATTCTGCCTTCAGACCCAGGCTTACCTGTCTACAGAGCCTGTGCTCTTCACCTCTGAGGGTCACTGCCTCTTGCCACTTCCCTGGACCCATTACCAAGACTTTGGGGGCAGTTCTGAGCCAGACCTGTCAGAGGGCTTTTGTTTGTAGCACAATTTTAAGGTTCTTGGGTGTTTAAAAAAAAAAAAAAAAAACAAAGTGCCAGACTTCTTCCTATTTCCTACTTCTCCCAAAAGATTAAGAGTTGGGAATTTCAACAATAAGCTCCTTGAAGGCAAGGCCCACGTCATAATCATCTCTTCATGAACAAGCACTCACCACGGTGAGTGACAGTGGGTGCTCCAATAAATGACTGTGGTGTTAAATAAAATTTTCCCTAGATTAAAGTTCTGATAAATAAGCCACAAAAACAAAAGAAATTACAGTTGAAATCATTCAGTATAGACTGTATGTGTGTGTGGTGAGCTCCAGTTTTTGGAAACAACGTAAAACACTGAATCACATCTGTAAAGTGTTTTCCCTTTTTGGAACATGTCTACATTCACTTATAATAATAGCTGCTACTAAGTGCTAACAATGTGCCAGGCTCTGTGCTAGGTGTTTGACATACACTGTATCAGTATGTAATTTGTTGTACACAAGAACTTGACAAGCTAGCATAGTATCTATTATTATCCTTGTTTTTTTTTTTTTTTTTTTTTTTTTGTGTGTGTGTGTTTCTTTTTTCCCAGAGGAAGCAGCTCAATTTTGGATATCCCATGGCCCTTCCTGCACGCTTTCCTTTTATTAGGGATTGAACAGAGCAGACCTCCGTGAGGCCCAGTGAGGTGTGACCTTCTTTGCGTCAGGGAGATAAAGGCAGATCCCCAGGTTTCCTGGTCCTTTCCTCGTTTGTTCCTTGGATCTCAAAATTCTTCAAGACTTCAGAGGAAGTGCAGTGAGTTGATTCTCATGTACCGGGAGAAGAAAACATAGAGGTGACGGAACCAGAGGAGCTGGCTGCGGTGGCAGGACATGGCTCTCTACAAGAATCAAAGAGAACCAGTTAGGGAACATTTGCACTGAAGCTGGTTCTATTACCTTTAGTTTTGGCTTCATCTTTAATCTTCCTCCCTCTAGAATCCCTTAAGCTATAGCCTTATATGGCTTCTTTATATCACACACAAACCTCTCTAGACTACCTCCAATCACTGCTTCCTTTTCCTTTCTCCTAATTGCTTCCCTCTGATCACAGCAAGTGGTAATAGTGGTAGCTGGAGCACTCACTGTGCTGCCAGGAAACTGGCAGAGCAATTTACATTCATTATCTCAATTTAACAGCCCTGTAAGTGAAGTATTATTATTGCTTTTTTTTTGTTTGAATAGATGAGGAAACACATGGATTTCAAATAGCTAGTTGGTAACAGAGCTGCACTTTGAACCCAGAGCCATCTGATTGACTCTAGAGCCTCCATTCTTAATCACTTTGCTCTACCACCTCCCATAGATATAATACAAACAGGGATATTTTATTGGAAGCAAGCTAGAATATTGTCCCCAAACTCCTCTGAATTAGGTAAGCTGACAAATTACCATCACTATTAAAAGAAAAAAAAAAAAAGAGGAACAGCACACAGAGGTGTGGGTTCTCCTTCCCACCTACTAGGGGAAATGTGTGTTATTTTATTATTCAGACCTAGTGTAGTTCAGTTTCATTTAGGCAGAATAGATTATAGTCACTGATTGAACTAGATATAACATATATAAAAGGCAATTGCCTGTTTTTTTCTAAGTACCATAATTAAAACTTCCCTCTAAGGTAGTATCATTGCAAACTTTTATGCAAAGAACTCATTTTATAATCATTGTCAGAACACATGTGGCTTTAGTGATGTAAATACACCTGTGATAACCAAGCTTTAAATTATAAAAGGAATTGGGGCAGAACTAGGGTCGCTATGAGTAGGAATCCATGGCAATAGGTTTAGTTTTTTTTTTTGGTTTATCACCACTGAATATAGTGAAGCAGAATATTATATAACCTTGTTTCAACGGGAAATATGACTTATTTTTTTTTTAAATTGTACTTCAGGTGAAGGTTTACAGAACAAATCGTTTCTCATGAAAGACTTAATTTTTTAAATGAAATTTACTATCAGAAAAAAAATTGATGCATGAACTCACCAGATAAGTTAAAAATTTGAAGATCATAATAAAAACAAAATGTTTACTTTAAAAAACACTTGATTTGTCTACTTGTAATAGTTACCAGGTTACAAGAGTTTCCCAAATCATGCTGCCCAAGTGGCTTATGTCTTTAGACTCCCTAATCTTTCAGTGATTTTTAGCACTCATTCAAGAAGTTGGGTATTTGAGGGAATTATATATTTATTGTCAATTTGGTTTTTTACAAACTATTTTTCTATTACTTTTTGTTCAGATTTTCCAAGGGAACACCAAAAAATATCAAAATTGTATATGCAGTTTTGTATTTCTGCCTTTTCCCCTTAACATTGTACTTGTAGCATTGTCACTAAATACCCTTCAAAACTTATGATTTTACTGGTTATGTAGTACTGTATCATTCATCTGCAAAACATTACTTCCTCTTTTGGCTATCACCAATTATGCTAATGAACATCCTTGCACATAAATCTGTGGACTCATCTTTGTTCATTTCTAGGATTAAATACTAGAAGTAAAAACTGAGTCAGGGTAAGCATACATTTATTTAAATTATGCAAGTAAAACAGGATTTTATAAAAGTTTTTAAAAATTAAAAAAAAAAAAAATTAACTCACATGAAATTCTACCACCCAGATAATCTTTGGATGCTCTTTGACTTTTCACACACATATATGTATGTGGGTGTATGTGTGTATTATTGCTCTGTAACCTATTTTTTCCCCACTGAATGTATCAAAAATATCAAAGAGTAAGTACAATTTCTGAGAAGTCATCTAACACTTCCCAGAAAGGCTGTACCAATTTACACATCTGTTTCATTTAACTTTCCAACAATGGGTTCTATCATTTAATCCTTTCCGCTTTGCTACCAAAATGTTATTACTTTTAATTTTGTTTTTTAAATTTTACTGTGGTGAAAATATACTTAACAAAACATACACCATCTCAATTTCTACGTGTACAATTCAGTGACACTGGTTACATTAATCATGCTGTGCAACCATCACCACTATCCTTTCCCAAATCATTCCATCACCATTAACATAAATTCAATGCCTCTAAGCTACAACTCCCCTTTTTCCCTTCCCTCTGACCCCTGGTAACCACTAATAATCTTTGGTTTCTATATATTTGCTTATTTAATATAAGTAAGATCATATAATATTTGTCCTTTTGTGACTGACTTATTTTGCTCGGCATGATGTTTTCAAGGTTCATCCATGCTGTGGCTTGCATCAGGACTCCATTTCTCTTTATGGCTGGGTAGTATTCCATTGTGTGTATACATCACATTTTGTTTATCTGTTCATCTGCTGACACACATTTCACTTGTTTTCACCTTTTGGCTATTGTGAAAAATGCTGCAATGAACATTGGTGTACAGGTTTCTGTTTGCAATCCTGCTTTCACTTCTTCTGGGTATATATCTAGGATTGGGATTGCTGGGTCATATGATAGTTCTATGTTCAACTTTTTGAGGAACCACCAAACTGTTCTCTACAGTTGCTGCACCATTTTACATTCCTACCAGCAAAGGATGAGGGTACTTTTAATTTTCTTACCATCAAAATAATTCAGGTGTTCTGATGTGGTCAAGATAAGGCAGCAAAATTATGCTTCCTGTTCCAAACACATAGTAGTGGTAGAGAAAAATGTAAACAGAAGACAAAAAAGACATGAATGGGCTAAAAAATAAGCCAAATAGAACCATGAACCAAAAGAACACGAACACAAAGCTGTAAGAGTGGCTCGGCTGAGTGTTCACTGGCTAAAGGCCCAGAAGCAGCCTTGGCGGCTAGGATTTCTGCTTCTGAAGGTGACTAACTGAAAGGACTCTGCTGTACAGGGCACCCAGACTCCCTGTGAAAGCAGGCCGGGCTGCAGCTTGTAGCAAGTTGAATGTCTTGAGATCAGCACCTAGACCAAATAACCTGCTGTCTCTGTGACTGACTCTAAGACCTGATTCTGGCTGCCAAGTAACTGCAAAATCTCTAGACAGGGAGAGGGAGTACAGAGGAAGAGGGAAGAAAATTCAACAAATTCAACAAAATAATACCTTCCCCCTTACTTGCAAATAAAAATTCCTGAAGACATGAAATAATTTAATGCAAAGAAAGAAAGCCAACAAAATAAGCAATCACCATCAGAACATATTCTAGATGAAAATAATTTTACAGAACAGTGTGTCAAAGACAAAAATAATTATGTTTAGAAAGTTTAATGGGCTAAATAGGGAAATAACCTTAAGAAAGAATAAGAAATTATGAAATAATAAGCAGATGTGAAACAATAGGTTGACATAAAGTAAAAAATTAGACATTTTGGAAATGAAAACAAAATACGAAACAGAGAAAAAATTTGAAAAAACAATTAAGAGACATGAAGCATAGATTAATAGACCCCAATGCATATTTGGTAGGAGTCCCAGAAGAGAATGGAGGAATTTCTACAAGGGATATCTGAATAGATAATAGATGAGGACTTTCCAGAATTGCTGAAAGATATGGGTCTGCATGGGTCCTCAGTTTGAGAATACTGAGCAGAATAAATATAAACAAATCTACCCTAGGCATATGGCAATAAGACTGCAGAACCTAGAAATATAGAGAGAATCTTAAAAGTTAACACATGAGAGAGATAACTACGCATGAGTGAGATTATACTGACAGCAGGCTCCTCATCAGCAACAGATGTTGCCAAAAGACAAGGAAATGACATCGTCAAACATGCTGAGAGAAAATAACTCAACACCTAAACTTTTATTTCCAGCCAAACTCATTCAAAAGACAGGATATTCCAACATTCAAAAGCTAAGAGAATTTGCCTTCTTTAGACAGTCACTGAAAGAATTACTAAAGAATATGCATCAGCAAAAAGAAAAGTGAACCTAAGGGAATGTGTGGGATATAAGAAATGACAGAGGGCCAGGAATCAAGTATATGTCAGTAATAATATTCTAAACTACAATAATGAGAATGGAGGAAGGCATTGGTCAGTGTGTAGTTAAGACATGCTGTATTTCTTGTGGGGGGAAGGACAAACATTGAATAAGTCTCTGCTTTGAATTTAACCTAATCTATCTATCTATCTATCTATCTATCTTACCTATCCATCCCTCCATCCATCTATCTATCTATAGCTTCCAAACCAACAGGTGGAGAAAGGAGGGAAAAGGACTATAGAAAAGTTGACCAGCAGAAGGCAGGTAAAGGGAGAGGGACGAGTGGGAGGAGAATGTTGAATTGAAAACACAAAATAAGTAGAAATAAGCTCAAATATATCAGTAATTACAAATAAAAATAAATCAAATATACTCATGATAGGATATTTCATAGCAAGATTTTAAAAAATTCCAATTATATGCTGCTTACAGACACAGCTAAAAATCATGACCAAGTGGGATGCGTACCAGGTATGAAAGGATGGTTCAACATTAGAAAATCAATCAACGTATAATCCACCGCAAAAATAAAATAAAAGAATCACATGATCCTCTCAGTCGATGCAGAAAAGGCATTCAACAAAGTCCAACACCCACTCCTGATAAAAACTCTTAATAAAATAGGTACAGAAGAGAAATTCCTCAACATAATAAAGGGCATCTATATAAAACCAACAGCCAACTTTATTCTCAATGAAGAGAGGCTGAAATCATTTCCCCTGAGACCAGAAACAAGACAAGGATATCCTTTATCACCATTCCTACCTAACACTGTGCTGGAAGTCCTAGCTAGAGCAATAAGGCAAGAAAAAGAGATAAAAAGGGGATCCAAATTGGTAAGGAAGAAATAAAACTGTCCCTATTTGAGGATGATATGATACTATACATAGAGAACCTAAAAGACTCCAGAAGAAA